GTGGGTTTGGTGATGAAGGATAAATTTCTTGATTTATTTGCAAGCAAAAGTTAAGCACTATGTGGAAAAGCTAATGCATTCTTATTTATGATTCATCCCTCCCCCTCAGCCCCCAAAGAATATTCAGTTGTAGTAGAACCATAGAATCCCAGACTGGTTTGGGTTGTAAGGGATCTTAAAACTTATCCAGTTCTAGTCCCTGCCATGGGCAGGGACGCCTTCCACTAGACCAGGTTGCTCCAAGCCCCGTCCACCCTGGCACTGAACACTGCCAGGGATGGGGCAGCCACAGCTTCTCTGGGCAACCTATGTCAGGGCCTCTCCACCCTCACAGGGAAGAACTTCTGCCTAAGAGCTCATCTCAGTCTCCCCTCTGTCAGGTTAAAGCCATTCGCCCTTGTCCTGTCCCTACAGGCCCTTGTCAAAAGCCCCTCTGCAGGTTTCTCGTAGTCCCTTCAGGCACTGGCAGCTGCTCTAAGGTCTCCCCTTAAGGATCCTTCTCTTCTCCAGGCTGAACCAGCCCAGCTCTCTCAGCCCTTGCAGCATCTCTGTGGCCTCCTCTGGACTCGTTCAAGCAGGAGGTGATCAGAATTCTGTCTTAGTGCTGTAAATTACATCTGCCCCAAATTCTGAATCCTGGGATCTAAAATTGTGCCTTTTTGTGCATGTGTTCCTTTACCAGCTTTACTCGTCAATTTGGGATGCCACCAGGACTCCAAAGGAAAACTGTTCTGAGATTTCTTTTTCTTCATGTTGTTTTACAAATGGCTCGTGCTTTGCCATGATGCTTTGGAAGTGAAATGGACCTTGGCTGCCTTTATGGCTTATCAGTCTCTCACATTGGGCTCTCTACTGAGGAGGGGGAATACTAATCAGTTGTAATTTGCTCAGATAACAATGTTACTATTGTTAGTTCTAACACTTCTGTTTGTTAAACAGGCGGAGGAAAAGCTTGTTGTAATGAATAACTTCGTGTTGAAGAAACAGCCTAAGAAGGGTTTTTGGTACACTTTGCATAACATCTTGTGTGAGAGGCGAACCAGTTTTTGCATATCCAGTGTCACGTTAGTTTTTTGGCTTAAATTAGGGCTGTATCTAAATGTCCCATGTTTTTCTGCACTGAGGTGCTTGAGATAGCTGTAATGTAGCCCAGATAATTCTCTCCTACAAGTGTCCTAAATTAGATTAGGTGACGGGGTGGGGAAAAAGTACAGAATACTGATTTTGCAGAAGCTGTAGAGTTTCTTTTCATTTTTTGGTGTTTTGTTGGGTTTTATTTTTTGTTGTTGTTGGGTTTTTTCTTTTTTTTTTAATTTGGTTTTGGTTTTTTTTTTAGTTTATATGTAAACATCTGCCTAATAAATTTAAGCCTCCTGGCCATGGGCTTGCTTTGCTTAACTTTTGTGGGCCTCCTGAAAGTGGTCTGCAGATCACGGTGTATAAGATGCAGAAGTGAACACATTGCAGTTTAATGTAAGGAAGTGAATTAACAGTCAATTGCTTTGTATAGAGACTGAATTAGCTACTGTTACTGTGTCAGACTTGGAAATGAACACCTAAAAAGGTAGCCAGCCAAATTCATTGTGTCCCTGTAACAGCATGGCAAATCTGTCCAGTGCTCCTCTCTGCTTGCTCACGTACTGGCAGCAGTTCATCAAGCTGGCATGTGTTTCTTGCTCTGCTCTCTGCATTGTGACCTCTCCCCCTGTGTGTTAACGAGAATTCATAAATAAAGGTAGAATGCACAAAGCATGGCTTCATCTCTTTCGGTGCATCAGCTTTTATTAAAAAGGAAGACATGTTTTTTCTTACGGATTTTCAGAAATCCTTTTACAGCAGAGGTCTGTGCAGATGAGGATGTATTTTTTGCAGTTTCAAAACTCCATGTTGCGCTGGCAGTATTGATTGATGTAATGTGTTTAAATAAAAGGCTTAACTGGCGTTTGTTTATCATAATAATTGCTTCTGAAATGTCTGCTGTGTAGTTGGCATGGTTTTGATTGTGTGTGGATCCAGGCTTTCAACTGAAATCTATTGTTACTCACTTTAACGTGGTTTAGAATTGCTCATATTTTATTCTTTTATGCAGAGTAAACTGTAATTTGGACAATTCTTGTTTGTCCTGGTTAAACGTATTTGCCCATACCTTATATAAGTCGATAATATTAAAAGCATAAGACAAAAAGGTGTACTCTTCTTGCTATTTCTTCCACAGTGTAAGTTGAAGATTGTGTTGCTGTTTATCTGTGCTACTGTGCTTCTCTATCTCTGTGGCTACTATTCAAGTGTGGCATGAATTCTTTATCCATATAGTGTGGTGGTGGCTTGCAAGTGATGAAAAACAGTTTCCTTTACACAAATGTCCATCTTTGTTAATGCTGTCAAACAGCAAGTGTGATATCCAGGGAATACATGTCACTCTGTGGGTTACTGATAATGTAATCTAATTTCCAAAAATAAATTAAATGAATCTTTTCATCTACAGACATCAGATGTGTGTAAGCTAAAGAAAGTCAACATGTTAGAGACAGTACATGTGAATTTGGAAGAAGGATCAATGGCTAATTTTAAGATTAAACCTTTGAGTTTGCCTCATTTTCTGATTAATTAACATTGCTGAAGGTGCTGATGATGATATATGTTGCTGCAGAAGGGCTGAACCCTTTGAGCTGAAGGGCTGTTATTTGTTTCAAACAGTGCCTTTAAAATATTCTGAGCAATTTTTATGAGGCCTTTTTCAGCAAACCCTATGTATAGTGCTAGTAAACATCACTTTTTATGAAGTGTTAACAAATGCTACACTTTGTTTTCATGAATTTCTTTAATTTGGTTATATTCCATGCTGCCACAAGTAAATTTAACTAAATTGAGGAGAAAATGGAATGCAGTGGCATTTGTGATGTTAATAGGCGAGGTACCACGATACAGACTAAACTCTTCCCTAGCATTTACTACTATATATAAATATGTATTTTTTTTTTAGGTGTTATTAATGTGTATTTAAGTTGAGAAGATGAGTAATAGTTCTGTTCTTAGGGAAGTGCCACAACAGTTATGTCAATCCTTTTCATAATACGAGATAGGAGAGAGGACACCTTCATCTTCCATATACCCCTCAGCAGCTTGATGTTTTGGCAGGAATTTCCAATCAAAGCCAAGGCAGTTTGATGCCTCCTTCCTGAAAGATATGCTTCTGCTGTAAGTTTGTCAAAGTCTGGATGGTGTCAGCAAACTCACTCTGCTTTTCTCTAGATCTGGTACCTCAGATATTTTTTTGTCAAACCAGACAAATGGTGGTGCTTCTAGGTATGAAGAGGCATCATAGAATCACAGAATCAACTAGGCTGGAAATGACCTTTAAAATCATCAAGTCCAGCCTTTACCTCAGCACGACAAGTCCACCACTAAATCATGTTGCTAAGGGCCTCTGATGGCTTCTGTAAGCTCTATTGCTGTGGAAATGTACCTGAAGATAGTTCAAATTCCACATCATCTACCCACTAGAGAGCACCAAAGTCAGGCCCTGCCATCCAGCTCCGGGACAACAAAACAAGGGGGATGTGGAGCTGTTGGAGCGAGTCCAGAGGAGGCCACGGAGATGCTGCGAGGGCTGGAGCAGCTCTGCTCTGGAGACAGGCTGAGAGAGCTGGGCTGGTTCAGCCTGGAGAAGGATCCTTAAAGGGGAGACCTTAGAGCAGCTCCCACTGCCTGAAGGGGCTACAAGAAACCTGGAGAGGGCTTTTGACAAGGGGCTGCAGGGACAGGACAAGGAGGAATGGCTTTAACCTGACAGAGGGGAGACTGAGATGAGCTCTTAGGCAGAAGTTCTTCCCTGTGACGGTGGTGAGGCCCTGGTAGAGGTTGCCCAGAGAAGCTGTGGCTGCCCCATCCCTGGCAGTGCTCAGGCTGGTTGGGGCTTGGAGCAACCTGGTCTAGTGGAAGGTGTCCCTGCCTGTGGCAGAGGGTTGGAACTGGATGAGCTTTAAGGTCCCTTCTAACCCAAACCAGTCTGGGATTTTATGATTCTGCTTTGCTTCTCTTAAGATAACACATACAACCCTTTTGAAGCAGCCTTAATGTCTTCCTTCACTTGCCTCAAGCTGTTATGTTGACGATTTTTTATCTTGATCTAACTTTGCACGATTATGCTTTAGTTGATACTGTTTTGTATGTGTGGCTGAGCTATTTTTCCTCTAACACAATAGAAACATTCATTTTCTCTTGTTTCTGCTAGACGTGGTAGAACAAATTGTTCAGACCTCTTGAATATCCTATAAAACATCCCCATTTGAGAAAGAGATACAGCTGTTCATTATAGATCCTGTCCTTTAATCTCGTTGAATCATTGAGGCAACTTATTTAATTGAAGGACTCTTTTTATTATTAAGAACTTGCTGATCCCTGTAGGGGAAAATCTGTGGACTAGTTTTCATCTTTCTGGCACATAGAAGCATTATAGAGAGGCATTTGAAGTTCTGCATTAAATAAAAGATAGTTAATGTTCATTTGTTTTGTCAGTAATGTTTATGTTGTTGTGTTGCTGCTGTGGGTACCAGAATAGGGTAGATGACAAGAACATGTTATCAATGCTGTTAGGTTTTCAGTTCCTGCCGTTCTGCATTACATCCAAAATGCCTTTTATATAAAACCTGTGATTGCACCTTTATACTACTGATAAGAGCAGGTTATTGCTGTATCATGTTAAACTCGCTGCATGACATCTCTTTTCCTGCACGTTAGAAAGTATATCAGTGCTTACGCCCTGTGCCTATTGAATCACAGTTGACCATTAAGATGTATTAGTTATATAAATAATTGGTGTCTAGATTATTTCATGTATTTGACAGTTCTTCTTGTGTCAGTTTTATTATATTGCTTTGAACTGGAGGTCTGTAAAGGTATTTCTTTTGCTTGTTGGGTATGTGTTCAAGTTTATTGGAGTAAGGTTTTGTGTTCTTTCTAGTACAGGTGAAGTAACTCATTATTCCCTTGTGTCCTAGTTCAGACTTGGATCTCTGAAGCTACAGAAAGTTTTGAGTCCAGCAGAGGTGGTTAAGGAGCTCATTGGCTGCTGTCTGGACTGCCTGGGAAGACTGCAGGCAAAAAATGAGCATCTGCAAAAGGAGAATGAAAGGCTTCTCAGCTGCTGGAGTGATGCAGAGAAGCGGTAAGTTTAAAAGTGCAGTCACAAGGGATCCTTGAGAAACCCACAAATACTTACATTGTCAGTGTGGACTTTGCTGATGGGCACTTCTGAAGTCATACATAGAAAGGAGCACGCAAGTTTTTCTTCTTTGACAAGACTTTTGAGCCCATCTATCTACTGTCCATATAGTTGTCTATCTCCTTCCTATATCAAAGATACAACTGGTATTACAATTTGCAACTGAAGCTGATTTTACCCTTATAAAATAGAAAAAAAGGTAATTACCTCTTTTCTGTAGAATCCTCTCCACTTTCTTCATAAAGCCTTCTGTTTTCCATTATTTCTTGCAATACTTGGGACTAGCAGTTTAAAATATTTACATTTTTGAGTGGGAAATAAGTTGCCATTGCTTTAGTCTGTTTGCCTTGTCAAAGTAGCCAGAATTGTAAAGCCAGTGTGTTGTTATAGGAAAAAGTACCATTATTTTGTGAGAGACTTTTGTAATTGTCCTTTCATTTATGATCTGAATTGTCTGCCACTGCACTCTGTAGTGAAGTAATTTTTGCTTATTTCAGTTAGCATAAAACACTTAGCATATGCAAGTCAGAGATTTATCTCAGTTTTCAATAGCTTTATATGAAAAATTACATTTAGGAACATTGGTGAAAGAATGTAGCTAATTGGCATTAATTTACCTTGATAAAGAGAGCTAGCTTTTGGGAGGAGTTAGTTTTGTATCCCTGTTATTAAAATGAGTTTCCCCTGACAAGCATAAGGCTTTCCTAAATGGTGTTTTACTGCTTAACAGTTTACTGAACAATAGCGTATTGTATAACCAGTATGCTATACTGCTTTACAGGCTAATGCGTAATAGGCATTAGTGCTTGTATCAGTTTCCATGGTGGTGTGGCATTTTCAAAGACATAAAAAAAAAATAAAAATCAATCAGAGTTGCCTGACAGCCTTTGCTCTCAGAAGCAGTGTATTCAGTCTGCTAAAGGTGGTGGTTTTCTTTAGCATCTTTGCTTTGAATAGCTAAAACATGATTTTTCAAAATAAATGCTGAAAGTTGTAAGTTCACCAAGCTTTGTCCATGTTTGCTAAATGAGGAATAGAAATACTTTTTATCCAGATATTGTTAGCTTTTTTGGTTTCATGGGGCTTTTTTTGTTGTTGTTGTTGCTTTGTTGTTTTTTTTGTTTAGTTATTTTTTTTTAATTTTGTTTTTAAAAATTCTTTTTGCCTGCTGTCTTTGCTCTTTTGGCTCCAAACGCTGGACCAGGTGTTGTGAGTTTCTCGGAGCTGAACAAAAGCTTTGCCTGTCTTTGTTCAGTAGGCATGATTTCAGGCTTCATGTTTAGTATCACTCATGGTGTTGGATGATAAGACATCAGATATATAGTATGTGATGTGAAGAATTGTGTCCCCTCTTCACCCAGAGGGTAAGCACATCAGCTCCAGAGTTTCAGCCGCTACAGTTTACTTTGCTTAAAATCTCTTTCTTCAGGACCTTATTAGAATTAAGTGCAGACTTCCAAGGTCTGATTTAGTTCAGGTTGTGCATAGGACACTGGATGGAATAATTCAATCATAAATCATAGAATACTTAGGGTTGGAAAGGACCTTAAGATCATCTAGTTCCAACCCCCCTGCCTTGGGCAGGGACACCTCACACTAAACCATGTCACCCAAGGCTCTGTCCAACCCAGCCTTGAACACCGCCAGGGATGGAGCATTCACAGCTTCCATGGGCAACCCATTCCAGTGCCTCACCACCCTAACAGGAAAGAATTTCCTCCTTATATCCAATCTAAACCTTCCTTGTTCAAGTTTGAACCCATTATCCTTTGTCCTATCACTACAGTCCCTAATGAAGAGTCTCTCTCCAGCATCCCTATAGGCCCCCTTCAGACCCTGGAAGGCTGCTATGAGGTCTCCACGCAGCCTTCTCTTCTCCAGGCTGAACAGCCCCAACTTTCTCAGCCTCTCTTCATACGGGAGGTGCTCCAGTGCCCTGATCATCCTCGTGGCCCTCCTCTGGACTTGTTCCAACAGTTCCATGTCCTTTTTATGTTGAGGACACCAGAACTGCACACAATACTCCAAGTGAGGTCTCACAAGAGCAGAGTAGAGGGGCAGGATCACCTCCCTCGACCTGCTGGTCATGCTCCTTTTGATGCAGCCCAGGATACGGTTGGCTTTCGGGGCTGTGAGCGCACACTGAAGCCGGCTCATGTTCATTTTCTCATTGACCAGCATCCCCAAGTCCTTCTCCACAATGCTGCTCTGAATCATCACATTTCAGTTTCCCTACTCTTAATTTTGTTGACCATCATGGAGGTTTTGTGAGATTTTTCCTGTAGCTCTCTGGGGTCTTTTGAGGTGCAAACCTGTCCTGCTTTCCATTCTGTGTGTAAAATGCCAAGCCCCATTCAGGAGGCTAAATCTGCCTAGTGCGAAGTCTGTAGGATGAATACCAGCCCTGATATGCTGCTGGCGTTTGCCTCAAATGTACCTGAGATAATCTGCTCGGATTCAAATAGTTTGCTGCTGGCAACCCTGTGCCAGACACAAAAATGGGTTCTACTGCTTCCCTCTGCAATTCTAGTTTCTGTGAAGATGAAAGGCAAGAGCACGCCAAAAATCCCTGTGAAGATAAATCTCTTGTAACTCCCTTATTTTTTATCATCTTGCTTATTGTGATGACTTAAGTATAGGATTTTACCTGGCTAAACTTTTCCCTGCCTCCATTGAATGACCCATACATAGCTGACATCAGCATGAGAGTTATTGACTAGCGAGGCTGTTCAGCACTTGATCAAAAGACATAAGATAAAAATTACCAAGGCACTATCTGGCAAGATGCACCATTCCTAGGAGTGTTCAAGGCCATGCTGAACGGGGCTTAGAGCAGCCTGGTCCAGCAGAAGGTGTTCCTGCCTGTGGCAGGGGGTTGGAACTGGATGATAGATAGATAAAGAGGTTATGGAAATTTTCAGAATGATTATTCTGAAAATGCTGCCCATGGTTGCCTGGGACAAGTGTGTGTGTGCACACCTCTGGGATGGATGAGTTAAAATACCAGAGCAGAATAGGTATTGTTTTTATTTAGTATAGGTAATTAAGTAATAATAATCTGTAGCAAAATAAGTCCTTGGCCAATAAGACACAAATTAAATTTCTGATTTGGGTGTGGTATGTATTTTGTATCAAATATCTAAAATTAGCATAGACAAGCCAAAATCAAAACAGCTACTAATTTATGTTGTGGTCAACTTAGTGACAGAATATTTAAACCACAAACAGCTTATAAAAATCCAGGCTACGTAGTTATGGTGCTTGAAATTGACTCTTCAGCATTAGCTCATCAAAATTCAGTGCCATTGCCAGTGCTGGGGGAAGGGTGAATCCAAAGTATAATAGAACTTTGCCATAAGACCAGTAATTGTTTTAGAGAACTGAGGACAAGGATAAATAGCAGAGATGTTGAATTTTTTCTTTCCAGTATTGGATGTGGAAAATGTATAAATGCCTCAAGTTACACAGTTCAAGTTATCCTTTGTGAAGCAAATGTGATTGCTCTACGTTTAGGCAGGGCTTAGAAACCTGGTAGTTACCTTATTTTCTAAATTACCTTATTTTCTCAAAAGCCATAACCATTACTGTTACTAGCTGCTTTCAGTAAGTAGTGCAAGCTTTCTGATAGCTATAAATTTGGGCACATCTAGCGTGTTGAAAGCATTGCACTGAGGTAACAGATCTAAGAGTATAGAAGTTGGAAGGCATGTGCAAATAAGACTTGCACCACTCTAACCATTAACTTCTGTTTATTTTTGTTGTACTTGAAATTTGTCTTTGAGATGAGCAGCTTCTTCATTTGGCCTGGGGAGGTGGTTCTTTAGTGAGACAAATCACGTACAGGCACAAGCATGTGGCAAATTGCATTTGAGTTTGTATTTGTAACTAATGAGGTATTGGAATGAAACCCAGCCATTTTTGCTTTGTGGTAGTGAGATTCAGGTAATTCTACAGGATTTGGTACAGACAGGATTTTGCTACAGACAGATATCATTCCCCATTTTACACAAAATCCTTGTTTACCATTTTGATATATATATAAACATACTTAGTTTCAAGCATATTTGGGCACTTCTAGAAACTGTATTAGGGTTTACAATTCTTTGAGGACTGTCTACTTATTCCCCACTAAACAGTTAACTATTGTAGGTGGAATGTCTCCTAGTATTTGATTAGTACATATTATCTTTCATTTATAAATTATTGAACTGATCTATATGGTAATGATGTTCTGCTATTTGCATTTAAATTAGATGAATTATTTATCAAGTGTATCCCTAAAGCATTACACAGTAGACTTAATACTTTGTGCAATTATTTTCTATTGTCTTTCTTCTTACATCATGGTTTTGATCTATGAACAAAACAATATTTTCTTTTAATTAATATTAATTAATATAGGAAGTCTGTTGAAATTTCTAACCTTATAAATTAATATTTTTAAAATCTGTTTTGTGTTTAGATTTAATAACAAAGGGAACATTCTGAAGTGTTTTTCACAGACTGGTGAAAAGAATGTTTTTCCTGTTACGACTGTTTGCTGTAATGCTGTAGTTACCATGATCAATATATTGATATTCTTCAAGATGTTTCTTTGCTTGTTATGAACACAGGTGTTAAAATGTTTGTGGTTCAACCCAAGGACTAAAAAAGTTATGAAATACAAGATGTAAATATAGGATCTCAGTTGCAACCAGTCACTTCTTTTATTGTGCTTATGTTTGTTTATAATCCAGTGTTCCTTTACTTATGAGACTGCATACATCCATATTTTTTATTTTGTATTTCCATTATATTTTTTTTATTGATACTGATGGACATGCACCTGCATGTTAACCCTTTAAAACCTGAAGAATATTATACTCTGAAGGTACTAAGGGCTTTTTAGTCATTTTTCTATATATTGTAAGTGTTGAGTCCTCTTGCAGGTAATTGTGATTGGTTCAGTGGGGGCTGCATGTATACCAAGATCTCAGCCCCGTATCTGTGCAGTTCAAAATGAAGTTTGCAGCACTGTTATTAGCACTGAATTTGTCTGAATGCAAGTAAAGATTACAGTTTCCATCAAGTGTTGCTGCAGTGTCTGCTGAGCTTTGCCAGGAGCTGATTCCTGTGCCTTGCCAGCTCACCAGAACAACACACAGGTGGAAAGCAGCCAGGCAAAGATCTGTAGCACCCAAGTCTGCCTGGGGAGTCCTGGCAAAGAAAGTTCCAAATCTGTCATAGAATCACAGACTGATTTGGGTTAGAAGAGATCTTAAAGCTCATCCAGTTCCCACCCCCTGCAGTAGGCAGGGACGCCTTCCACTAGACCAGGTTGCTCCAAGCCCCGTCCAACCTGGCCTTGAGCACTGCCAGGGATGGGGCAGCCACAGCTTCTCTGGGCAACCTGTGCCAGGGCCTCACCACCCTCACAGGGAAGAACTTCTGCCTAAGAGCTCATCTCAGTCTCCCCTCTGTCAGGTTAAAGCCATTCCCCCCTGTCCTGTGTGTCCTTGTGTGTGTCCTGCTAAAGTGTAGCCACTTTGGTGAATTCAGCATTGAAACTCAGACGCAAGATGTTGGACAAGTCCTGCATGGATTGGTATGGGGTTTCCTGTAATAGGAATGCTGGTCTCATTACAGAATTTTCTTCTAGAAAACACAGAATTTTAAAAAGAAATAATGTAACAATTAATTTTATATTGTAGGCTAGAAAAATGTGTGGTGGCTAAAGAAGAGCTAGAGGCAGATCTTTATAACCGTTTTATTTTGGTGCTGAATGAAAAGAAGGAAAAGATAAGAAACTTACAGAAGTTGTTGAATGAAGCTAAAGAATCTGCAGCAGCTGCCAAATATACAAGGTATTTCTTAATGTTCCCAAGTTACTTGGTATCATACCTAATGCATAAATTACTTTAGCTTAGTTTCCATTCCTTTGACTCTAGCAGTGACTGACTGCTCTTTCTGGCTAAGTGCTTAGTTATCCAAAACAGTAGTTGGTCATGAAAGCAGAGGATTCTTTATCACTGCAAATAGCAATATATTAATTTGGATGCTGTAGCCACAAGCTAAATATTCAATTAATCTCTCCTTGTTTCTGGTAGGATGCAAGTGATTTTACAATCAGAGCATGTCCCTGCCATTTCTGTAGGTGGCATTATTCTCCCTGAATATTTGGACTCCTTTCGTCCTTTGGTGAAAAAAATCCCAAACCTAAATTTAGAGAATTTTATGTACTTTTTATTTCAAAAATATCCAGAGAAGAGGAATTATTCTAATGCTACTACATGCCTTAATTTGTTTGCTGTTTTTATCTTGCTTTTTAACTTTTTAACAACTTTTATTGTCTGTCATTGTATATGAGTGTTATAAGCTATTCAGTTTGGGGACTCTATGTTGACGTATATCAGCTTACATTGCCTAATAATTATAAATTCTTCTCAAGAATAATAGACAAGATGTGCTTGGTTGTGTTTTGTTTTTTTTCCTAGGGGTACTACAGCTACTACTCAGATGGTTACAGGGGGAGAAAATGAATATGATGGCAGCACTGACGAGGAAAGTGAAAATTTAACACAGCCCTCATTACCACCAGGTAGGACAGAATGTACTGTCTTTCAGGAATATCACAGACAACCCAATCACTTTGTGCGAATAAGCCCTAATGAAGACAAAATACTACCTGACAAATTGACAAATTGCTCTGTGACAAGCTGACCGGCAAGTCCTAAAAATATCTCTTCTAGCATAGAGTATAATGTGCTGGCATTTTCAAATTTGAGAGAGGAAGACTAAAAGCATGTTGTACAAGTGAAGGCACTGTCATTTCTTCCAAAATGACAAATTACATACTTTGCAGAACTAATGACAGTCTTAACAGTATCTGAACCATCAAGAATTACATTTTGAATTCTAGGAATCATGATGTGTGTGCAGTGATTGCTAAAATGTACTTCCTGACAGTTTCAATGGTGCTTAAAAAGGGGAAAGATAGGAGGTTTAACAGCTATAAAAATAGCTGTGTGCCGAAATGGAATAAAAATGTATTTAAAGCAAAATTAATTTTGTCAGTGAATTTTTGCCCTCATGAAGATGCTTATGAAACTTAATTTGACTGATTTTTCCGTGACTGGAGACTTGTAAAGTGTATGGGGTACAGCAGTTGCCCATTATACAGTACCAGATATTTAACTGTAAGTTGTAATTTTGTCAAACTAGTATGACCATGCAGGACAAATGCTATCAAAGTTTTAAAATTGCATTACTGTAGAGTTGTATATATATATGCATATATATTAATTTCCCTTTAAGTCTACAAAGTTTGCTATAGGTTCTCTCACTGGAGCCTTTTATTTTCACTGTAGGTAAAGGTTATCAAGACAACTTGTCACAGCATTTTCCTGTGCATACTGGGGACCAGAAGTGTTCAACACCCTGATACCAGTGTCATTCAGCTTTCTGCTATAATAGTATTCAGTATTCAGATATAAAGTAGTCATTGTCAGAAAACAGGGAAAGTGTCAGTCATGGAAAGAAATAATTTTATATTGTATTATGCTTTTTTGTTCAGAAATCTTTGTTTTCAAGTGTGTTTGGTCAGTTCAGATAGTCTGGGGAGAAATTCTTGACATTTAGTGAAAAGGCAGGGAAAAGCGGATAGTGTTCATTCCTTTGCTACATTCAGTGGGACTTAGCTAGGTCAGTGAGAGTTTTGAGGTAAGACATGTTTTCATTTTAAAATAAAAACAAATGCCCACTGCTCTTCCCAGGCAATCTGGACTGATGAATATTATAGAAGAAAAAATAGCAGCTGTATTTTTATTTGAGTTGTAAACAAAAATGTGCTTTCTGTTCCCTTTGAGGGATACAGAATTCCCTTTGAAGATTTTGATCATGAGTAGAGAGTTCTTTCAGCTGCAAAATTTGCAAGTAATGTGAAGACTATAAACTTAATCCTTTGGGTAACACACTCCAGTGTTTCAAGGTAAAGGCATTCTTGAACCTGCACAATGAGTATCACTTGGATCAGTTGATTGGGTCAGCTGTGTACACTCTTCGTGTGTACACAGCTTTGTCTTTGCATGAACAATAAGCACAGATAGGAGCTGAGTATCTTCAGTAGAATTTTCCCATGCATAAGGAGGTCTTAGGCAAACTGTGTCTTGATGAAGAAGATAGTAGCTCAGGGGTGAGTCGCCTGAGTGGATAATGCTCATGGCTACATCAAGCATTAGGGTTTGTGAAGCTTAAAACATAATGCAGATAATGTTTGTTTTTTTTTCCTGTTTATCTTAATTTTCCAGTCTCTTACTCCAACATTACAATTCTTTTCCTATTGGATTTAGGATGTCATTGTGGGTTGCACGTGTCAATGAGAGTCAAGAAGATCTTTGAGAATGTTCTAGTAGTTATTGGTGAAAGCCACAATCAAGAGAGAAGATCATAATTAAGGAACTACTGTGAGGGAAAGTGAAAGCAAGTGCATATATGCATACATACACACATGAAAAGTGTGCATTTGTATATGTGCATGTCCAAAATTGAAAAAGCAGGAAGCTAATGCTGGTGGTCATAAATGCAAAGTAGGAACTGCAGGAGATGGCCAGAAACCTGTAAAATCTAGACACTTTGAATTCAGCCAGTTAGGATATGTTAAACTGCAGAGATTAAAAAGATGGCTGAGGATTTTTCTTAACCACCAATAATTGTTTGTCTTCAAGAATTTTTGGGACACTGAGGACATTCCAAGGGACTTAATAAAAACTGCTAATATTTAGAAAAAAAATGCAAAAAATAAAAATAAAAATTACACATTCAGTTATGAGTGTATTAGTTGGTGTTGATTTGATGCAAGTATTGGAACAAGACTCCATTAAAGAAAAATACAAAGAAAAAGAGTAAAAATGGTTAATTACAATCTTTGTAAAGGTGCAGAAAGTAGAGGTTCAAAACTAGGTACTCATGTCTTCAGTGATGAGATTACCAGCTGGCCGGTGAAGGTAAAATTAGTGAAGTAATTGACTGATTTCCATAAGATACCATGCTGCACCACATTTTATCCGAGAAACTAGAACATGAAAATTAACATAAGACATGGCCAATATATTCTCAAATGAGGTAATATGTCTATCTTAAAATATAAATAGAAAGTTAACAGTCCTTGTATCTGTAAAGTGTGAAATTTGAGATAATTTATACAAACCAATTTGCATTTTGGGATACACCAGCTATAACAAATTGTAAGACAGTGCAATGCCATGATTTCCAGTCCTTTGACAGCTTTGACTTGAGAAAAACAAGAAAGTCTCAAGCTTTGCTTTGTCTAGCTCCTCCTGCCATATAAAGCTTGATGCTTCCAAGGATTGCTATCATCTTCTCTAGGTAGACCTATCTTGCAAAGCCAAGAGCTACTTTGACATTTTCATTCTGCTCCATGCTGCATCCATTCTGGGCAGGTGGCACTGCTCTGCTTGGCCTTGTAGGAATCAGTTTAGGCTTAGCCACATTACTGTAAGTGGTCTGTGCCTGACTTCTTACCAGTTTGTGACTTCCCAGTGCTGCCTGCCTCACCTGATAGGGAACCACTGGTCTAGTGTAAAGCTACTTTGGAAATTAAAAAACATACAGACTGTTTTCTAAAGAAGAAATGATTGTAAAAAAAAAAACAAAAACCAAACAAACAAACAAAAAAACCCCACTGAAAGAAAAAAGAAAACACCAAAACCAAAAAATACATTAAAACATTAAGGGTGTGAAAATAAGCAAATTTACAAAGCTGTGGCAAAAGGGACTGTGTGATTCTTAAGTCAAGATATGATTTGGCTCCTTGATGCAGTGCTATGTCAAATTTGGACATACGGTTTTGAAGAAAAAATGTAAATGTTAGCAAGTTAGGGAGAATAATGTGATAACAGTGGAGGGATTAGCAAATGATTTAAATGAAATTATGAGAAGGATCTTAATCATGGCTTTCAGGGTCTAGAAAAAACTACGTTGCAAAATTATGTCAGTTTAGATGATGGTGTTTCTGTCATGCTGAGGTAGGTGTTTAAGGACCTTGAATAACTGGAGCTTAACATTAGGCAAAGACAAAAGTGGGACAGGTTGGATGGGCCTTGGGGCAACCTGATCTAGTGGAAGGTGTCCCTGGAACTGGATCAGCTTTACGGTCCCTTCCAACTCAAATTATTCCATGATTCTATGATTACTCCTGACTGTTGGAACAGTTTGGAGTGGGTTATGATAGTTTGCATCATTGCCAGCATGGAAATCACAATGGCATGCTTTTAATAAAAAGACAAAAACTTGTTCATATAAGCATGAACTTAAAAGAGGGTCACAACTAATGTCATGTTGAGGGTTGCAGATGGCTGTTTCTATGACAGCTTTTCCTCTATAACATCATATGAACTCCCGAATGAGACCAATTCTTGTGTCTTCTACAAAACTGAATTTACTCATAACAAATACTCAGCAAGGCTGAGTATTTAACTTCAGATAACTTTTGCACAGAAGTTATTTCCCTACAATGGCTGTTAAACTGTAATCTAAAAGCTTACCTAAAAATTGACAGGTTTGGCACTGACAGTACCATTTGTAGATATGATTTATGGTTTGCTTTTTGACAGCAGTTTCTACTTCAGAGCTTAAAGCCAAAATCAAATGAAACATGGTAGGTGTCCTGGGTTCAGCAGTAGCAGTCATGTTTTTCCTTTGTGTTAACTGGTGCAGTGCTGTGTTTTGACTTCTAGCTTGAGAACAGTGTTGGTGAAGCCGATGTTTTCGGTTGTTGCTAAGTGATGTTTACCCTGACCAAGGACTCTGTGAGGCTCATGCTCTGCCAGGGAGGAGGGGAAGCTGTGAGGAAGCAGAGATGGGGCGCCTGACCCGGGCTAGCCAGGGAGGTATTCCATACCACAGCACGTCATGCCCGGGGTGGGGGGTGACTGGGAGTTACTCGGAAGGACAGGGGCTTCCGGGTGGAACTCGTTTTCTTGGCCGGTGGTATCGTATTCTCTTCCCTTGTTATTTTCCCTTATCATTGTTGTAGTTGACAGTAGCGGTGGTGATTTGTTGCTGGACTGTTCTTGTCTCAACCCGTAGGAGTTGCACTCTCTCGATCCTCCTCCTCGTTCCTCCGGGAGCGGGGAAGGGGAGAGCCCCGGTGCGGGGGGAGGGGGGGGGGGGGAGACGGACACGGACCTCGATTGTTGTCAGCTCGGCACCACTCACTGGGAGTGAGTGAACAAGTTACCTGACTGGGTTTAAACCACGACAGTAGGTTTTGTCTCTAATCTACACACTGATGTAGTTAATACTTTGTATTGCAAGGGAACAAATTAAAATGGAATTAGGCATTTTAGTGTAGAGCACTCAGTAAAACAACTGATGTGTAAGAAAAGTACAACATTTAGAAACAGTGCAAGTTTTATAAGCAATACTTTGTGTCTTTCTATACAACAGCTTTGCGCATCACGCCATAAGGATGTGGAAATTTATTTAGACTTATGAATGTAAGATTTATAAAGGCACACAACTTCCCCTTTCACTGCAGTTTAAAATATTCCTAAGGAGCAGCTATATATATGATGTGCC